TTGTCACTGAAAAGCAACAAATTGGTCACTGTCGACTTCAGCTTGCTGCACTTTCCCGCTTTGCAAAAAGTTTGTTCCTTTCGATGAATTTTGCTTTGTAAAATGATCCGTCGCGGAGCCTGCGAAAAAACAGCAAAAATTAAGTTTTGCTTAAAAATGCACTGTCAAAGAGTACTCTTTTTGCATGTAATGTAGTGCTGGAGTCGGAAGTATAATGGATCTGAAAATGCGACAATGCGGAATTTGATTCCATCTCACTGTATCCTTTTATTATCGGTTGCAAGAGAGGCTAAATTTGCATCGCATGATTGGCTAGCCCACTTTCGTTCCACTAGCCTGACATACGGCTCTTTCAATGGGTCGGAGGGAGTGCTAGTAATTTTCACTTTTTGTCCTTTTTTTATTATTCTTAGAGGAAATGCTGTGTGTAGCATATATCTCACTGCTTGAGTGGCCGTTAAAGAATCTTCCCTACATTTACCACAACTACCGTCTTCATAGAAAAGTTCAACGACACCAATATACGACGCGAGGTGACCGCAAATTACTATGATTGCGTTAGTTCAGGTCATCAGCTAGTTTTATATCCATAATTTCACGGATAAATACATGTTTTTTACGAAACAATGTTATTCCTACATGTGGGTGATGTGGTTACTCACAAAAACAGAAAAACGAGCACTTGAGATAGCGAAGCAAGCAGTAGAACGAAGGAAGCTTGACGTCCCTGTAGGAACAAAATTCCAAAGGCGTTCGGAGCGATGGCGCTTTTACCGATTATGTGGCAGGTGTTTGCTAGAGGGATGTGGTTCAGAATAAAACATAGCTGCACCAGATGTGTCGCTTTGTCCGTGATATCACTAACATGGTACCGATCGGTCTTTATATTCCTGGCAGACTGTTGTTTACTGTAATACCGATATTCAATCGTTATAGTTGGATTTAAGCGACAGCTTACAACTTTATAGTGTTATTGGTATGCTTCCTTCAAATGTTGTGGATTTTCGATTAACAAATGCGCATATAACCCATCTTCCGTTGAAATTTTTTTCAAGGTAAGAACCTATACTTGACACTATACTTGACACTATCACATATAAATTTCAAAATCATTCAGAGTTAATATTTTGATTTTTAACAAGAATTCCTCCGTCCTAAGCATATGCTTTTTTATTCGTTTTTGCCATGCAACGCTAGAGCGCTGCTGCAGTGAACAAAACACATATTGTCCAAAGGCTCCCGGTATGTCTATATGTGTGTGCGGGTGTGTGTTTTGGCCTTTTCTTTCAGATGAAAAGGGCGTTGGCTTGGTGGCAGTGTTGCATCATTAGTCTACGTTGATCAGCAGCCTGCATAATTATCAGTTTTACATGAAGAGATATGAACGGGCGTTCATCGAAAAATGCAAATTTGACAATGCACAGGATGTACGAAACGCAGTCGCGTTTGAGGTCACGATAAAATTGAATTTTT